CCATTCCAAAAAATTTGTAGTTGTCTATTGTAAAGTTACCATGTGTATTCATCATGTTCATTGGTTATGTTAAAATAGATTTTTATTATTGACCAATGAGAAAATTTTACTTTTTATTGGACATGATCATGAAAAACACACATAAAAACATTGTATTTTTGCTCTTTTCCCTTATTTCTAACCCTGAAACACTAATAAAAAGTATCCAGGAAACATATTTATCTATTTAATGATAATTTAGGCAGTACTGATAAGGCAAATCCAGGTAAAGGATAGACATGAATCAATCAATAATTGTGTTATTTGCTGCAATATTTATTTTCTTCTCAGCAGGATCTTAAACTTGAAAAAAGGTATGAACAGTTCATAATTAAATATGAAAATTAACATGCTGCAGCACTGCAGGTACAACAAAAATAATAGGAAGGCGCTACAGGATCGCAGAATCATATGTATCGGCCTAAGGAGAACACTGGAATTAATGTTAAAATTCACTGAATTTGGTGCATAGTTTAAATAGTAACACAATTTGAAACTTTATAAAACAACATATAATGAACTGTATTAATTAATTTATCATGTTTATTGATTTTTTTTTATAAATTTATTAAATTGGCAATCAAAATAAATAAACAGCTGCGCCATGTGCGCATGATACGCCTGTCGCATTTTCAAAGAATAAAGTTCAATAACTTCTCAATGTCATATCAGAAATTTAATAAAAACTAAAGGGAGGTTATCTTAACAGATATAAACCAGTCACCAAAGTTTCATGAAAACTGCTCAAAGCACTTTAAAGATTTTATCCGAAAACTGGAAAATCACCCCCTTTTTATGAATAAAATCCCATAACTCGGAAACGTAAAATCTAAAATTTATAAAAATCGAAAGGGAGCTTACGTCAATAGATATAAACAACTCACCAAAGTTTCATGAAAACTGCTGAGAGCATTTTTGAGTTATTGGCCGCAAACTGGAAAATCCCCCTTTTTTTAATGAATAAAACCCCCTAACTCGGAAACGTAAAATCTAAAATTTATAAAAATTGAAAGGGAGCTCATGTCAATAGATATAAACAATTCACCAAAGCTTCTTGCAAATTGGTGAAAGTGTTTTTGAGTTATTGTCCGAAAACTGGAAAATCCCCTTTTTTTAATGAATAAAACCCCATAACTCGGAAACTTAAAATCTAAAATTCATAAAGAACGAAAGAAAGCTCACATCAATATAAATAAACATTTCGCCAAAGTTTCATGCAGATTGGTTAAAGCGTTTTTGGGTTATGGTCCGACATGTTGACAAGGGATGGACAGACGGACAGACAGAGACGGACAGAGGTATACCATAATACGTCCCGTAAACGGGCGTATAAAAACTAGAGGCCCTAAAGAGTCTATGTCGCTCACCTTGGTCTATTTGCATATTTAATAAAGGACACTCTCCCACATTGTAGACAAGAATATAATTCATTACAAAAATCTCTGTTTTGTTGATCTTGTACTGCTGATCATTAAGTCCGTTTAGCTTCTCTCTATCTTCATTAGCTTTTGCTCAAAACACAAAAAAGGGTAAAAAATCCACATTTAAGGGCAATCACTCCTATAAAGCGTGACAGACAGCCTACTTACTATATCTTGTATATCAGCAAAATTTGACTTGTTAGTAGATCTTGCCTTGCTGATTATTTTTGTGATTTAAAGTGTCTATTTATCTATTATAATTTTTATCATATACATGTAAGGCAAAACGCAAAAAAATGGTGAAAATAGTCATTTATAAAGGGCAATAACTCCAATAAGGAGTCATCGGACGATTTCCTACATGTATACATATTTTCTAAACTGTAGAACTTGTCTTGCTAATCATTTTTGCTTATTTAAGTTTCTATCTATCTATTATAATTTTTAAGATATAAGGCAAAAACGCAAAAAATTGGTAATTATCTTCATCAAAGGGCAATAACTCTAATAAGGGGTCGACCAACAGTTTCGACCATGCATACTTATTTGTAGAACTTGTTTTGCTGATCATTTTTGCAATTTAAAGTTTCTCCTTATTACAGTTTTCAAGATAATAGGCAAAAATAAAAACAAAATGATAAAATTTGTCATTTAAGGGCAATAACTCCTATAAGAAGTCGTCTACGAACAATTGCTAAAGCTCAACATTCTGAACATTTTTGCCCTTGTCAGATTTTCTCCATTTGTAACAGTTTTCAAAATAGTCATAGACAAAACTTGCATATCTAATAGAAAACTGACAATCAAAAGCTACTTAGCAGTTAAACGTGCTAAAAATTATAAATAAATAAAATCAAAATATATATTTTAGAATGACTTGGTTATGAAAAAATAATGTTCTTGTAGGTAAAACAATATAACAAATTATTCTCGAAAATAAATTAATAAATGCAGATATCTTTTTTTAGCCAGAACTAATGTTTTCATCATACTTACATATTTACATTTTTAATTTTATATCTTTTATCACAATTTAACTTTATTTAAACAATGTATGTTAACTATTATAAACAAGTCTATTGAAAATATGATTAATAGAAAACATGGAAAAAGTTGAATATATGCTCCATAATATTTATCTACCATGCTTTACATGGAATGTTTTGGTAGTTCACTAAATCTCTTTACTTAAACTAATTTATTATTATATATAAAATATAAAATTATTTTACATCTATGATTTAGTAACTAACTTATTCATAAAAAATAAAAATGATTTAAAAAGACAATTTCTCTTCTACAAATGTAGAAAATCTGATGAAATAAAGAAAAGAATGTACTTTCTTATTAATTTTTTCCCAAATTCGATGCAGTTCGACACCTTAATGAAGCATATCAAAGAAAAGGTGTATTTTAGAAGTTCAACGCTATTCCCATTTTCAGGAACTAACAGGAACATAGTTTTTATAAAATATAAAGATACAAGCCTTTAAAAAACATTTTTTAATTTATTTCAATATTTTCCTTGTAATATGAGCAATTTCTGACCGATTTCATTCATTTTTTCACCATTTTATTTGTTTGTCTAGTGCGCTAAAAATAGACATACTCTCACAACAGAAGGGACATAACTCGAGAAGACAATTAAGAAAATCTATTCAGCTGTACTGGTCAATACAGATCGACAGATAAGAGATGTAGCTAAAGTTACTTGATTGAGAACAACCCACATGAAACATCAAAGACAGTCAATTTGGTCATGGTTCTTTTCATCTAACAATAGAGAACAGTAGGGAACATTTGACGAGCTTTATCTATGGGTTTATACATATATGGATGAACCTTAAACATTAACCAAGTTCATAAATTTATGAAGTCAGAAGGGCTTGCACATAAAAAAAATGTCACAAATCAAATGTACCAAAGAATTACAATTGGTGTCACACTTGCTCAGTTTCAAAATTGATTAGGTCTTTCCCAACTAAGGACGAAACGCTAACGCACGTCTTGCTAATCTGTTGTTGATTTTTTTCAACCGATGACGATGTGAAGCCTAAACAGAAAAATCATGACATCCTATACTAGGCGTTGTTATTTGAAGATCTCTGACAGGTCAGGTGTAAGTTTACCTAGGACTACAACTTTTTATAAACTCTATATTCATATAAAACTAGCTTATCGTGTCTATATTAACCTATTCTTTGGAATCAGTAATAAAACCTTTAGAGGAAGATAGTAACTCCCTAATATCATGGTTCTCTTTCAACAAAATGCAGGCAAACCCAGAAAAATTCCAGGCAATTGCCATAGGTAAAAAAACACACACTCAAAATATGGTCTTCAACCTAAATGGATTCAACATAAAATGTGACGATGAGGTGAAACTTCTAGGTGTAACAATAGACTTTAAACTGGATTTCAACACTCACATTTCAAATATATGTAAAAAAGCCGCAAGACAACTAAACATACTAAAAAGAATCAGCACTCATCTCACCAGACTTTCTAAACTTACAATATACAACTCAATTATCTTGTCAAACCTCAGCTATTGTCCTCTCACATGGCACTTCTGCAGTGAACAAAACACAAAGAAAATAGAAAAAATACAAGAGCACTCAAGATTCATTTATGATGACTACAAAAATTCTTACGATACACTCCTTGAACAATTTAAGCTACCGGCACTAAAAATCAGAAGAATGAGAACCATGGCATTAGAGACTTATAAAATAATTAATAAATCAAGCCCAGAATTCCTACATAATTTAATAAACATTAAAGAAAATTCATATAACTTCATGTAAAAAGGCATAGCGGATATACCACGGCCAAAAACAAGAAGGTATGGTAAGAAAAGCTTTAGCTATGAGGCAGCAAGACTCTGGAACTCCTTGCCAAATGAGGCAAGGAGCTTATAAACTTTTGGCCAGTTCAAAACTTTTATCTCCACCTGGTGTTTTTCAGAAAGTTGTACCTGCAGTTCTTGTAAATAATGTAACTCCTTGCTGCCACATGACTTGACCTTGAAGCCTGCTGTTTGTTTTATGTTTTTATTTATTATTAATTTGCTTTGCTTTAATATGCATTACCTGTGCTGTAGCTGCTTGTAGTCTTTTGCTTGTGCTTTATAGTGTTTAATTTTGCATGTGCTACTTGGATACACATATTGTGTGTTACTATGTGCTGATATTTGCTTTAATATATATCTTGCTTAGCTTTTATTTTGCATGTGCTATCTATGTATTAAACTGTTAAAAGGAACATGTATGTGCTGTCTGTATGTTTGTGTTGTATATGAATATAATGTTATTACATGTATGTTTTGTTTATTAGTATCAGTCGGTTAAAGAGCTCATGTTCCTTGTTATTATGTCATGTATGTATATATGCAACCCGACTTTAAATAAAGATTACTTTACTTTACTTTACTGTTAACCTTCGTTCCTCGTGTTTTCTTAAACCGGAAGTTGACGAAATTGTAACCAAGAACTGCGCATGACATTGACCTCTGACACAAAACGTAAACAATAGCACGTGGATACTACACGTGTTGTGATGCGTAAATCAATATGGATTGCCGGCAATTAAAATGGATCTAACAAAAGATAAATTAGATAAAGTAAAGATCAAGGCAGAGGAAAGAATCACCGACTGGATTGAAAGTTGTCAAAATGCTGGAATCACTCGCCTGTATGACCAGTATGGAACTGCAAATTTTAAAAGGATAGAATATAAAAAAGATGAGACACAGAAAAAAGAAAAAAACGCAGTTCCTTCAAGATTGAGACCATTGAAACCAAAAAAAGGTGTAGAAATTCAGAGGAAATCTTTGGATAATAGAACAAAAGAACTCGATCATTCAAAGAAGGATAAAGGAGACAAAAAATCCCAAAGAAAGTCAGTTAAAAGTAGGCAAGGCAGGGAGGATTCTATCAGTCGGCATACCATGGATATCCAATCAGATTCAACTAGAAAATATAGGGATAGCGCATCGATTTTTAGAGAAATGAACAACAGAAGCTCACATAATAGAAGTTCGTTCAAAAGCAGTGTTTGCAGTATGGATGCTATTTCACTGATGTGTGACGAGCCTAAAGATGATCATTTTGGTGGATTTCATGGAAAATTAGATAAATTTAAAGAGTCCGACCTTAGTTTTCTGCAATTTACTGATACAACAAAAACGAAGATATCAAAGAAGGGCTTTTCAAAAAAGATGGGTACTAAGTCCAGGTTTGATCCGCTGAAATTACCAAAGAGGTTTCAAATAGAAAAATCGAATATGAATACAATAGCAAAGGCGGAAAAAACATTTTATGAATATGAAAAAAGTGAACATTTTAAACCAGGAATGAGTAAAGTGGGAGGAAATAAAGACAGACGTAAGAAAATCAAGATGCCAGTCGAATCTGAATGCATATCAGAGGAAGACAGATCAAGTTCAGAAGGAACTTTAGAACCCATGAGACTGCCAAGGGCCTCTATACAAATTTCAAAAGATATTCCGCTAAAAGAACTAAATCCTACATGTACTTCACCAATAACCATACAAATATCTACAGAGACGCCACCACCTGGTTCTCTGTCTAGACCACCTTCAACATTTTCTCAAATCCCTGTGACTTTCACCATAGATACAAATTCTGTGAATGAATACGTTAAAAGATCGAATTCTCCCTTTGCCAAAGAACCATCTACAACAACAGACGAAACAAGAGCCAAATCATCCTTCGCATTGTGGTCTTCGACCACATCTCCTTTAGCACTGAGGCCATCGCGAAGTGAAATAAACACTCATAAACCATTACTTAGACTTGGGCTTGCTCCATCATCGTTGGGATTGAAAAGAAACAAATCGCGTCTGAGTCGTATCAATCTATCTGCTACACCTTCCTCCGTCTTGCGCACGGGAAAATCCTCTACGGTAAATCTATTTGCAAATAATAAAAAGGGTACTGCAGGGGAAATTTCTATCCTTTATCAAAAGCAGTCGTGCATCCAGAATGTTAAGGGGAAAGGCTATTGTGGGTTAAACATAAAAAACTATGAGGTCTGTTGACATTATGTAACAGTAAATTTGGTCCGGTAGTAAAATTTGTCCGCCAGACTTTTTTTCCTAGTTAATTAAGTCCATGACCATTATTTTACTTGGAATTTAAGTCCGGTGACAAATTTTCCTAGGAAAATAAGTCCATAGCTAGTAAAATATGTCTGACACTTATTTTCCTAGGAAAAATTGTCCTAAGACTTGTTTTTCTAGTAATTTTTATTATATTTTAAAAATTATTGCAAATAAAAAAAACAACATATTTTCTTAGTTAATATAATTGGAAAGTTCCATTAATTTTTCCTATTAAAATAAAGGACATGGCCGGACGTTATAACCTAGGCATGTTAGTGACATGGACATGATATCCTAGGAAAATTAGTCTGGGGACATAAATTTTATTAAAATATTAATGCACAACTCTTAAACAATATTAAAACATAAAAATTGAATTTCCATTGTTTACATGTAAATAATTTGTTTCATTAAAATTTTCCTTTTAAAATAAATGGCATGGACATTTTTACCTAGGAATATTAATGACATGGACATGATTTCCTAGGAAAATTAGTTTGGGGACAAACATTATATTTAAAAAATTGAAAGTTCCATTAATTTTTCCTATTAAAATAAAGGACATGGCCGGACGTTATAACCTAGGCATGTTAGTGACATGGACATGATGTCCTAGGAAAATTAGTCTGGGGACATGAATTTTATTAAAATATTAATGCACAACTCTTAAACAATATTAAAACATAAAAATTGAATTTCCATTGTTTACATGTAAATAATTTGTTTCATTAAAATTTTCCTTTTAAAATAAATGGCATGGACATTTTTACCTAGGAATATTAATGACATGGACATGATTTCCTAGGAAAATTAGTTTGGGGACAAACATTATATTTAAAAAATTGATACACAACTCTTAAACAATATTAAAACATAACATTTATATTTACCTTTTAAAATAAAGGGCATGGACGTTTTTACCTAGGAATATTAATGACATGGACATGATTTCCTAGGAAAATTAGTCTGGGGACATGAATTTTATTAAAAATATAAATACACAACTCTTAAACAATATTAAAACTTAATATTTAAATTTCCAATATTGTATAAATGCAAATGATTTGATTCATTAATATTTCTCCTATTAAAAAAAGAACATGGACGTTTTTACCTAGGAATATTAATGACATGGACTTGAATTCCTAGGAAAATGAGTCTGGGGACATAAATTACTAACATCGGACTAAAAATACTAGTAAATTCTGTAACCATGGACTTTTTATACTAGTAATATGTGTCCGCCCGGACATATTTTACCAGGACAAATTTATCACTTACATTTCCGTATGAAATGCAAAATGCTTAGAATCTACCAATCAAAATGAAATCGTTCAACCAACATCCATTCAAATACCGTGGGCAAGTCAGAGTCATGTTTTCTTAACTTTTTTATATTCTAGTATTATAAAATATTGTTTACAAATGCCTTCAATGATAGTGGGTCTGGAATGGGGTTTTTTTTTGGGGGGGGGGGGGGGGGAGTCCATCATATATGTATTCTTTATTTTTTTTCCGCCATTTTCTCTATTCTTTATATAATTTGTCCATTATTCTCTATGTTTGTTTGTTTTTATATTTTAGCACCCTATTCTATTCTGTAAACCCCCATCCAAACCCTCATGACACGTTTTCAAAATGCTATTTTCAGTTATTGTCACGAACTGTCAGCCGCAGGTTTCCAGGTGGATTTCCAAGTTCAACAAATGTCTCTGTTGCAGAGGACAGAAAGGTAAGAATTCGATATGATTGAAATACAGATTCTTTGTCCAAGCTATTTTCGACTTATGAGTTTGAATGTCCCTCTGGTACCTTTCGCCTCTCTTTTGCTTACAAGGATCTGAAAACTTTCTGTTCTGGTAATTATTACATCAGCCAATGAAATTTCAGACTTCAAATTTTTGAAGGTGTGTAGTAATCCGACAAAACCAGAAGGTTCCGAAAGGTCTTGAAAACAGAAAGTAGAACGGAGCGTTTGCAGATCCGTATAAGCAAAGCTATCACACAGGATCCGTATTTCAATCAGATTGGTAAAAATTGAAACCGAGATAAAGAGTACAATTTCCCCTGTGTTTGTGTCATTCACAAAGTTAAAGTCCAAACATTTCCCAATCTTCTTAACATTTGATTATTAAAGGGTCTCTATATTTAATAAATTTATATATTTTTATATAATCAAAACATAATTCAAGGCTATACATACTTCTGTTTTTTTTATAGAAAAAAAGGACAGCATTAAAAACTCATCGAGAAAAACGACTATGTTCATTCTGTAATACAGTGGAGGATGAAAATCATTTCATTTTATATTGTAAAAGAATTTCAAAATTTAGAGGTGACTAATCGGGAAAAGTGTGATAAGATATACAAGATTATAATTCATGTCAAGGAAATGACAAAATTTAATAACTTCTCTGTCCATCAACCTCAATAATAGAAATATAGAAGGCGTAGGGACCTTTAATAAGTAGGCTTTAGCCCTTGTCAACTGATTATTATAGTTTGTTCTTATGTTGTACTGTTACACCACTGTCCCAGATTAAAAGAGGGGGGGGGGCGCCTTCAAACTAGTTTAACCCCGCCACACTCTGTATGTGCCTGTCCCTAGTCAGGAGCCTGTAATTCAGTGGTTGTCGTTTGTTGCTGTGTATCATATTTGTTTTTCGTCATTATTTTGTACATAAATCAGGCCGTTAGTTTTCTCGTTTGAATTGTTTTACATTTGTCATTTCGGGGCCTTTTATAGCTGACTATATAAATATATATATATGCGGTATGGGTTTTGCTCATTGTTGAAGACCATACGGTGACCTTTAGCTATTAACTTTTATGTCAATTGGTCTCTGGTGGAAGGTTGTCTCATTGGCAATTATATCACATCTCCTTATATTCATATTTAGAACTGAGGGCAGGGGACTCGTAATTTATTGTTATATTATATATATATATATATATATATATATATATATATATATATATAGATTCTACCACTGCATCGAGTGTGATACGATATTTATCCACTCGAGACAGTTAGATTTTCAAATTTAAAACGCGAGGCTCACCGAGACGGTTTTAAATATTTAAAATTTAACTGTCGAGAGTGGCTAAATATCGTATTACACGAGATTTGGTGGTGGAATCTGTTTCTCTAATGATTTTCAAACAATACGCAGGCAAATTTATTCCTTCTTTTCGAATGATCTGCAAAAAGATGTGTTCTTTCTATGTGACGTCATCAGGCATGGTCGCCTTTTTTCATGCCGTCACAATAGGAAATTCAGAGGAAGGCAAGAAAATTCGACGTCATAATCGGATTTTAACCAACGAAGAACTGAGATCAAACGAACCACACGTTGATTAATTTTTTTTTATACAATGGGTGCAGAAAGGAATAAATTGACGAAGAATTAGAGAAATATATATATATATATATATATATAACATTACTGAAGAGACATTAATTGTCGAAATCCGGATATGGTGTACAAATTTTTGCACCTCATGTTTGCGATTTACCATCTTTTCCGCAAGTTTATTGTTTTCTGTTTGGTATTAAATTAATATAATTAAGATCCATTGTGTTACATCTGTGATCCGTTTATTTGGCAATCGCCATGGCAGTCAGCAGGGTTTAAGAACATCCGTTGTTCGACCTGCTAGTCAAATATACTTTTTCACTTTTTTGGTCTTTTGGAAAATGTTGTTTGTGCTGTATTTAGACCCCTCTACAAAGAAATTTGTTTTGCATGCATACGTATAAAAATTGCGGTTTTTATCCAACGCAATCATAGGTTTGAACGTTGTTTTCAATTTAGACTTGTTTATATTTTTTCGTTTGGGCTTGTATTATATTTTCCTTCGGGTTTATATGATCCGTTCATCCTATTTCGACTCTTCAAAATTCAAGAGTCAATCCCAAATTGAGGTAAATTATATATGGCCTTCCAAATACCGTTTCGATTCCTAACATTACTGAAGAGACATTAATTGTCGAAATCCGGATATGGTGTACAAATTTTTGCACCTCATGTTTGCGATATACCATCTTTTCCGCAAGTTTATTGTTTTCTGTTTGGTATTAAATTAATATAATTAAGATCCATTGTGTTACATCTGTGATCCGTTTATTTGGCAATCGCCATGGCAGCCAGCAGGGTTTAAGAACATCCGTTGTTCGACCTGCTAGTCAAATGCGTTTTGTTAAAATATACTTTTTCACTTTTTTGGTCTTTTGGAAAATGTTGTTTGTGCTGTATTTAGACCCCTCTACAAAGAAATTTGTTTTGCATGCACACGTATAAAAATTGCGGTTTTCATCCAACGCAATCATAGGTTTGAACGTTGTTTTCAATTTAGACTTGTTTATATTTTTTCGTTTGGGCTTGTATTATATTTGCCTTCGGGTTTATATGATCCGTTCATCCTATTTCGACTCTTCAAAATTCAAGAGTCAATCCCAAATTGAGGTAAATTATATGGCCTTCCAAATACCGTTTCGATTCCTAACATCACTGAAGAGACATTAATTGTCGAAATCCGGATATGGTGTACAAATTTTTGCACCTCATGTTTGCGATATACCATATTGTATATATATATATATATATAAACAAGTCTAAATTGAAAACAACGTTCAAACCTATCATTGCGTTGGATAAAAACCGCAATTTTTATACGTGTGCATGCAAAACAAATTTCTTGTTAGAGGGGTCTAAATACAGCACAAACAACATTTTCCAAAAGACCAAAAAAGTGAAAAAGTATATTTTAACAAAACGCATTTGACTAACAGGTCGAACAACAAATGTTCTTAAACCCTGCTGACTGCCATTGGCGATTGTCAAATAAACGGATCACCGATGTAATAAATGGATCTTAATTTTAAATTTAATACTAAACAGAAAACAATAAACTTGCGGAAAAGATGATATACCGCAAACAAAAGGTGCAAAGGTTTTTGTACACCATATCCGGATTTCGACAAATAATGTCTCTTCAGTGATGTAAGGAATGGAAAGCCCAACAATTTACCTCAATTTAGAATAGACTCTTGAATTTTGAGGAGTCTAAATAGGATGAACGGATCATATAAACCCTAAGGCAAATATAATACAAGCCCAAACGAAAATATATAAACAAGTCTAAATTGAAAACAACGTTCAAACCTATGATTTTATATATATATAAAATGACTGAATAATAGCCAACGATAAATCTTTCGGGGCGATGGATCATATAATTATGATACAGTACACTTTACAAAATATAATATATAACAAGTCTAAAAGGGTACAACATCACCAAAAAATAATAATAAAATGAACAAATGTTGAATATTTCGGATAACAGATATCCTTCATCAGTATGATCACGATGTAAAATGAATCATATCAATCTAGTCTGATTATAAAACTAGAGCAAATCTTGAAATTTATATAATAAAACAGTCAAAACTGAACATCATAGAGACGCTTGTACAATTCTATTTTTTTTAACCATGACGTAGGTTATGTAGCTATTTACAACAGAGACTGCAAAGATATGCCTCAAATAAAAATAGATATGTGCGATATGAACTGGTACAACTCTAAAATTTCAAAGGTGACGACAGTTAAGATGTTACAACAACGATTGCGTGGAAATACATTCCCAATACACAGCACTGACTGATCCAAGCTAGTATAATATTTCAAATTTAACAACGATGGAGTAATTAAAACAGAAGCTGCGTATTTAAACATCCCAAATAGATAACAGTTTGATAATGATTAAAAAAATAATAATAAATTTTGACTAAGGTTAAATAATTGAACGTGACTGCGTACTTATACATCCCTCCCAAATGAATAGAACCCTGTAATTTAAACTGGTATTAATTAAAAAATTCCTTAAAACTGTAAGAGTCCAGTACGGAAGCCTGAGTTACTGGAAACAAGTGATGGTAGGAAAATGAGTGATAGTAGGGAAAATGAGTGACTCATTCTATGTTTTTTTCATTTATGCCCTCTGGGGAAACTGTCCTTAGCTTTCTTATCCAAAACCTTTCCCGAGCGAGTCTGTCGGCCCTTGACCAACCCTCGTTGTGGTCTATGATTGTGATGGTAAGGTTTTTGAGATCAGCTTGGCAGTGCCCAGGTGATCTCAAATGACGACTTACGGGGAGGTCGGGCTTGCAGGTGTAGTCACTTCGGTGGCCATTCATGCGTTTGTTGAATGGCTGTTCTGTCTCGCCAACGTACTGCATGCCACATCGACACTGAAGAAGGTATACAACATTCTGGGTTTTGCAAGTTACATTGCAAAATATAGTGCACACAGACCCAGTGGAGTGGCAAGTTTTTTTTTTTAAGTATTCAGTATTTGTTGGCAAGTCAGACATCGTCTGTTACCACACGACTTGCACCATCCTGCAGTTAAACGTTTTATTAGAGGAGACGTCAGCTCTCACAAATAGGTCTTTCAGACTTGCTGGTCTCCGAAAAGCTAAGACAGGAGGCTTGGGAAAGATCTTGGACAATTTTGGGTGCTTGGCAATAATTTGTCAATTGGCACGGATCAAACGTGAAAGGTTAGTAAAGGCGGGATTGTATGTTAAAACAAACGGAACTATTTTGCTGTGCCTCTTCTGTTATATATATATATATATTTAGACCCCTCTACCAAGAAATTGTTTTGCATGCACACGTATAAAAATTGTGGTTTTTATCCAACGCAATCATAGGTTTGAACGTTGTTTTCAATTGAGACTTGTATATATATGAATAGATTGTTTCGCTTTTGTATTTTCTATGGATATGTTTTACCTATGTTTTTTTTTATATTTATTGTTTATTATGGCGTTCATTATATCACAAATCGGTTATGCTTTATATAACAATAAAGTATTTGTTGTTAAAAGAATTTTAATACAAAATTGCAAATGTTATAAGTTTTTTTTACCCAACGGTATTTGTTCCCGCAACATGATATGCAGCTTTTCTTTAAACTTCATTATGGTTTTTGGTAAGGATTTCCTATACATTTTTGAGATAATTAAGTACTATAGTACTCAAAATTAGCCAAAGTCTGTCAAATTTGTGGTTTTGGGCGATCTTTGAACGGTTATAAATTAATGATAAATTTATAAATCTTATTATTTTAGAACCCGAAGGTTTAAAATAGAACTATGACATCGCGAACTTTAGAATAGATTGAAAGTCTTTTTTAAAAATATAAAGATTCAAATAAAGATCTACCAATTCGGACCCTCAATCATGGCGGAGAGGCTTTCTAGTCTTGGATAATGAAGTAGGATTGAGCCCATTAAATTTATGTCACCGCCCATCTAAGTTTTCTTTAACAAAAGAATAAAAAAAGGGATAAATTATGATGAAAAAAGAAAAAAACAAAGAAAGAAAGTACAAATTATAATTGTGAAAATAACGATCAAAATCTTGAATAAAAAAAATGTATTAAACTTCATAGTCATTGATTTTGCTTATCGTACAATTGCTAATTGTTGTTTTCTAATGGTCCGCGGTAGCCGAGTAGTCTAAGTAGTTCATATATATATACTGTATCACTAGCCTGTCACAGTGAGGTTGTGAGAATTGACTAGAATTGCCAGTTTTCCTACGGAAGGTCGGTGGTTCTCTCCAGGCACTCCTTCTTCCTCCACAAAAAAACTACAACAACAAAAAACTGAGCGTCATGATGTAGCCAATAGTACTGAAAGTGGCGTTAAACACCAACAACAATCAAGCAATCATCTAATGGTCAGGAGCTGACAACCACGCCAGTTGGACTGGTGTATAGGTGTCTCATTGGCAACCAAACCACATCTCCTATGTTTAAGAGCAAAGGCCTAAGGAAACAGAGGATCCAACTGGTAAATTTTGTACAGACGAACCAGCAATCAATAAACAAATTACCAATATAATAAGAATCAGAGGCGGATTTAGGAGGGTAGACAAGGGGCTCGGACCCCTACATAAATGATAAATGCATAGACTGTTTAAAAGTATTACTTCTAACGTTGGCATACCAGCACTCCCCTTTTCAAAATCTTGAATCCGCACCTGACAATTGGACCAAAAATATTTGTCGATTTATTTTTGGACCACATTATATACGTTTGTTTTAAATGATGTATTAGAAGAGATTCGAATGAATGAATAACGAAGGAATGAAGGAATGAAGTAATTTTTATTCATTTATGTTTTTTTTTCTAGGCGGTTGTTTTAGAAAGGTTTCGAAGATTTACTAATAAATTTATATGCGTGTCTCGTCTACTCAATGCTGTAAAGGCGAAAATGAAAATGCAAACTAGGGAGGAGATTAGTTCGGTAAAGAAAGAAGACGAAAAGAGCCACAAAAGTAATGTATTGGATTTTGATGTCAGCTATTTCAGAAGTGCGACAACATCATACGGCGGACTTTCCCATAGAGCTAGGGATGCCTTATGGAAAATGGTACACCAGCGTACAGAAAGAGATATACGAACTCTCAAGGTATTTAGTAAAAAGAGGATAACACGTGTCCATCCGAATTTTGTCGTAGGGATCCAGGCTCCCCATTATGCATATGTTTTCCAGGCTCCTTTAAAATAACTAGTTTGGGATCCTGGCTCCACTGATAGGACTCCGGGCTCTACTGATAGGCCCGAGTCCGAGGTAGGGGTCATTTCCCACAAGCGTCCGTGATACAAAATACTAATGCATCGTTTTTTAGTGAGTTAATCCGCTTCATTGAAGCAACTTTACATAGAATTAGAAGCAATCGTCCATGGCGTTATCAGTTTATTTTCAACTTATGACAATGTATGAGTTTGAATGTCCATTTGGTATCTTTCGCCTCTCTTTTACGGTTGTTTAATTAATTGTGGAATATGTTTGAGTTTGCTTGACTGAGGCATTTGTTATTGGAGGTTTAAAGCATACCTTTAATAGTCAATTTAATTTTTTGAATTAAAAAATCTTATGGCCTTAATTATAACAATTAATTGAAATTTTGAAACTTTGAAACTTTTTATTTCACTAAAGGCCTCACATGAGGTATGATAGTACAAACAAATAATATAAACAAACATAATGCATACACAAAATTAAACATGTGTACATGTACAGAATTATCCAGGTTCCTTGGTCTATATTCCTAGGAAGTTATGGATCGTCTCCCCTTCTTCAACAAATATCCCAAGTCTATAAAGGCAGACTTGGCCAGAATGTTATGGTATGACCGCTTTGAAGACCAGAGAATTATCATAAAGCAGGGAGACATCGGAACCCGGATGTATTTTGTTGTTTCTGGATGTGTAAGTTTACAGACGACAGATATAGATCCGAGGACTGGTACGTTTTTACTTATATATATTGCATTGAACTGTAAATTGTAACATCTTTTAACTTTTATATACAGGCTATCAACGCACTTTTATTTAGATTAGTAATCAATATAATATTGCATTTAAGGTGCACATATAGTCATCAACTTTTGGGGGTAGTTTTTCTTGGAACGGAACACTTCAATTTAACAGTATCAAGATAACAAGAGGATTAAGACAGCAACTTTAACAAAAAATAAATACATCTAGCTGTCAATACAATTAATACACTTATTTCTTTTTAAGCTTAAAAATCACACCCAATTATAGTGGAATAATGAAATAATTCAATATAACCAGTTGAATATGATATTGTACAGATAACTTATTTTGCAAGGATAATTATACTTATATATGATGTACATAAATAAAGTAGACAAGATGGAGAAAATCCGACGAAAAGGGCGGGATGAAATAAGGGGGGGGGGTAAAAAACTTAAGAAGAAACCAGTCTGAAAACACCACATCGTGGCCGAAGGAAAAACAACAAAACTTATTAACAGTAAGAAAACAAGAATGCACATGTTTTCGTGCTTAGAATACACATAATCGTAATTCAAAGTATTGAAAAACAGGACTGAGTAGGTATAAGTAGGCTAACGATGGTAGTCCGTCGGAAGGGGACGATAAATGGCTGACCCGTGTTAAGAGAGAGTCATATCTCTTGCACGTAAAAAACACCCTTGTAGATTTCGATAAAGAGCAGGTTAATGCCGCTACAAACAGCACTCGCACCCGCAAAGTGGAAAGGGATTAATATAAGTTGCAATTACTTGTTTCCCAATCCACTATAAATAAATATGTTTAAACTAAACTAAAATATGTAGGCTGACAGATCCAAAAAGCGCACACGCACTACTAATCATTACTGTTTTGCTGCTGAAAAAAATTGGAGTCAAACTGTAAGTAGTATGAGAAAAGTATGACAAAATGTTTTAAGGTAGTTCAAAATAATTGTTTACTGAAAATATCAAAGCATTGGCAAACACAAAGTCGGTGTCTTACCGATCCGAAAAAATGTACCTTGTCCGTCTATCCGATCTTGTGTCGAGGGGCGTAAAGGGGGGGGGGGTGTATCTGCACGGAAGAACGCGAAATAAAATTGCCATTTCACGATGAACGAATAATTAAAAATTTCTTGCACGTTGATCTTTTTACCGATTTCACGAAACACGGTGAATGACGAACCTTTTTCACGGCTGCACGTGAAATAAAAATGGCAAAACACGTTGCACGAAAATAACCCTTTACCACCCTCTGTGTCCGTTCTTTATATTTCCGTCACACTTTAAGTTTCTTTTGAACTGACGTTGATGATTTATAACGTGTTTCAGTTGAATCTGTTAGAGTGAGACATCACCATCATGCTTATTTAATACGCCGTGAATCTGTTAGAGTGAGACATCAGCATCGTGCTTGTTTAATACGCCGTGAATCTGTTAGAGTGAGACATCACCATCATGCTTGTTTAATACGCCGTGAATCTGTTAGAGTGAGACATCACCATCATGCTTGTTTAATACGCCGTGAATCTGTTAGAGTGAGACATCACCATCATGCTTGTTTAATACGCCGTGAATCTGTTAGAGTGAGACATCAGCATCATGCTTGTTTAATACGCCGTGAATCTGTTAGAGTGAGACATCAGCATCATGCTTGTTTAATACGCCGTGAATCTGTTAGAGTGAGACATCACCATCATGCTTGTTTAATACGCCGTCTCAGAATCTAAAGGACTATTGGTAATTGCTTGAATGTTCACACCCCATAATGAAAATAACGTCATGTCATTGGTTGAAGTTCCATAGTCTAATACATTTTTAACCATTCACAACGTTCTGGTGTAAACTTTTGAGGATAATACCCATCGTTCAAACCACAACTCAGTATGATTTATGGTTTTTTTATATAAACTGGAAAACTGAATGGTATGAGCGCTTGCCAAATATTACGAAAACGTCTGATGACTTTTTTTTTATGTTTATGGCGTAGTTGGGTTGCTGTCTCATTGACTTAGAGTCCGCATTTTCTTTTAATCACACCCTTTCTTAAAAGAAAAGTCATTTCTTAAGAAAAATCCTAACAAAAACAGTAGTTTAACGATTCAAGTCAAATTTTGTACATTGATTAAAAAGAGACAAATCTAGGCAATAAACATAAACTAAGGGACTCACATGTACCCCATCATCGCTAGCCAAGGAGATCTGGATCGTAACCGGATTAACTAGCGAAGATGCATGAACCCCAAAAGGATCGAGATGTGCAAGGTGCGTCGGCAGTTGAAGGGTCTCCTGCTATGCATGAAATGCAGCATGATCTCCAGTCATGCGAATCCAGATAGTTACATTGTACTGAAACGCATTTATCCTGCAATCAGCTAACTATTGTACAAATAACAGGTACACAAATAAATTTTTGCTTTATTTGTACTTGTACCATGATATAAAGTCTCCTGTTACCCCGCTTCCATGTTGAGCAAGCGGTAATAATGATATTTCTTTTTACGTACCAGTTCATTTTGGGGTCCTCTTCGCGGTCTGCGTTTAAACTATGTCGATTTCTTTGAATAATTAGAGACAATGATTTAGATTTTAACAACTAAAGTTTCAAGTGTTGGGTGTAAATTTCAGGATAAAAACAATATATGTACATTGTCGGAAAATATAAAATTTATTTGTACTCGCTACGAAACAGGAGAAAAGCTCGGCGAGCCTCGCTTTTCGTCCTGTTTCTAAATAAAGGCAACAGTGGTATACCGCTGTTCGAAATTCATAAATCGATTGAGAAAAAAACAAATCCGGGTTACAAACTAAAACTGAGGGAAACACATCAAATATGAGAGGAGAACTACGACACAACAGAAACACAACATTAAAATGTAACACACACAGAAACGAACTATAATATAACAATGGCCATTTTCCTGACTTGGTACAGGACATTTTAAGAAGAAAAAATGGTGGGTTGAACCTGGTTTTGTGGCTAGCCAAACCTCCCGCTTTTATGGCAATGTTAAATATAACATTAAAATGACAACATTACATGACAGGACTACAATACAAATAAATGGGAGAACATATAGGACAGAGAAACATACGAATAATAGCTAACAAAAGGTACCAGGTTTAAAATTTAATACGCAAGACGCGCGTTTCGTCCACACAAGACTAACCAATAACGCTCAGATCAAAAAAGTTCAAAAGCCAAAACAAGTACAAAGTTGAAGAGCATTGAGGACCAAAAGTTCCAAAAAGTTGTGCCTAATATGGCTAAGGTTTTCTGAGTGCATGGGATAAGAACATCCTTATTATTTAGAATAATTTATACTTTTGCAAACAGTAAATTTATAAAAATGACTATATAAAAGATATAAATGATAACACCGAAGTGGTGACTGACTACAGAACTCATACAAATAAATTTTATATTTTCCGACAATGTACATATATTGTATATATATGATACACGGTCTCTCGCGTAATATCTTTATTCTTTCAGGCATCAAGCATGTTATTCATCTGAAAGATGTTAAATCCGGTGCTACGTTTGGAGAACTTGCTCTCGTTAGAGACATGAAAAGAAACTATACGGCAGTGTGCAAAGGTAAATAACTCTTACAACGGGGATCTTTTATTCTGGGAAGGAGATGTGCACTTACTGTATAATTATAATGAGTGGTAGGATGAATCGCAGGAATAGTATTTCAAGCTTGGTTTAATATATAATAACGGTCTCAAAATTCAGACAAAATATCATAAGGTTATTGATTGGATCAAAAATATATATTCAACTTATCATGCAGATTTCGACATTTTCCTTAGATGAAATTAAAAGCACAGTCGTAAATACATAAGATATTTGTCAAATCTTTTTGTCTCTTCATGAAATAGCGTATTATCATATGCATGCATGGTAGCTTTAACTGTATATTTTGTTAAAAATATATGAATAGGGTTTTCGTTTTGTTTAAAAAAAATAAAATAAAAAGGATGGCCGGGGTACTGCTTGCCTCAGCTGCTCATCCCTAAATCAAAACGAAAAAAGACATTCATTTCATTTGCAGTTTTGATTCATTTAGTTACTTCAACATTTCAAGAAATACTCTGGTCATTATAATGCCTTATAATGTTTTTAACGGTAGGCCCTCCATACACGAAGCAGTGATAATGCAAATACGTATGATTTGTGTGAATATTAATAGAATAATGAGCCTATACTTTACCCAGTGTACATTTAAAGTCTTTGGACACTGCTTCTTGTTTAGTGGACCCCTTAAAATTATTTTTTTGTTTGATTTGTCTTTTTGTCTTTTTATACATCTTATAGGTGATAGCGAATTTTTAAGTCTAAGCAAGGACGAGTTTAATAATGTCTTACGGCACCAATATGAAGAGAAATGGCAGCAAAGACACACATTTATAAAAAACCAACAAAGTTTTGAAGGAGCTTCTATTGATCAGATGAAGAGCGTAACAGACATGTCCGATATGAAGTCTTTCCCGGACAACACTGTAAGCCTTATTACACAAATATCCTAACGCAAATCTTGGGATTTACATTCCATTGGAGGTCATTTAAGCACGTCCATTATGAACAGTTTAGCTGGGAGAAATCGGACAAAAGGGACCCATTCAGTAGAGCATCCGACCATATGACTTATTTTAGAAAATTTTTTAAAGTCATATAAAACGATTAGAAAATTATTTCTTTAACATTTATTACGAATCCATAAAATATAATAGACAAAAAATATGTCATTCCCTGCTAACAGAGATACATATAATACAATTGTGTTATATGTCTCTGCTGCTAATAAACTTTCGTGTTATAACGCTGGAGTTTACCGAACATTAACATTAATAGACACAGAATCATGAGAATTTGGATGGGGTCTTTCATTTCTGTATTCTTTAATTTTTCAGGTCATTCTTCTCTATTCGGGATCATTCTGTATACCTTTTGTCCATTATTCTCTATTCTTTATATTTAAGCACCTCATTATTCTCTATTCTTTATATTTAAGCACCTCATTATTCTCTATTCTTTATATTTAATCACCTCATTATTCTCTATTCTTTATATTTAAGCACCTCATTATTCTCTATTCTTTATATTTAAGCACCTCATTATTCTCTATTCTTTATATTTAAGCATCTCATTATTCTCTATTCTTTATATTTAAGCATCTCATTATTCTCTATTCTTTATATTTAAGCACCTCATTATTCTCTATTCTTTATATTTAAGCATCTCATTATTCTCTATTCTTTATATTTAAGCATCTCATTATTCTCTATTCTTTATATTTAAACACCTCATTATTCTCTATTCTTTATATTTAAACACCTCATTATTCTCTATTCTTTATATTTAAACACCTCATTATTCTCTATTCTTTATATTTAAGCATCTCATTATTCTCTATTCTTTATATTTAAGCACCTCATTATTCTCTATTCTTTATATTTAAACACCTCATTATTCTCTATTCTTTATATTTAAACACCTCATTATTCTCTATTCTTTATATTTAAACACCTCATTATTCTCTATTCTATATTTTGTTTTGTTCGTTTTCCTTTATTCTTGATAATTTTTGTTCCTTATTCTAATTGTAATAAAATTGAGAATGGAAATGGGGAATGTGCCAAAGAGACAACAACCCGACCAAACAGCAGAAAACAGCCGACGGCCACCAATAGGTCTTCAACACAGCGAGAAAATCACGCACCCGGAGGCGGGCTTCAGCTGGCCCCTAAACAAAATGTGTACTAGTTCAATGAAAATTGACGTCAAACTAAACTCCAAAACATATAAATGAACTAAAATAAAAAAACATACAAGACTAACAAAGGCAAGAGGCTCCTGACTTGGGACAGGCGCAAAACACCCCTCATCCACACCCTCAATCATGGAGCAAGTAAAAAAATAAGTGATTGATAGACATGCAAAAGAGCAATGTTTTTTGTTACAGTTATTAAATGATTTGACGAACTTTCAAAATATAAATTCCATATTTGTTTACCCATTTTTCATCTGATTACTTTTCCCTCCGGCGCACTTGCCGCGCGGGTTGCCGGCAAAGTACCAACGAATGAAGTTCCGTGTATGGTTAAGGTACTGCAAACAGAAAGTTATCGGGAGATTAGAGTACGGGAAGACAATTATTCAATAGCAATTCATTTCTGTAGATCTTGATAAGACGCGGGATTTTCTTTTAAAAGAAAGTCCAGTGCATGCACATGTGTTCAACAGTAAAACTAACGCGTGTCTGGCGTACTTAATTTTTATCCTGGTATCTATATGATGAGTTTTTTCAGCCATCACAGTCAAGTATATTAAATCATATTCATTTTGTTGTTTAAATTTGGAGTATCATATGACTTTAAGACAGAAAAATCCGTTTTTTCACAATTAAATTATGATAGAATTGTAAATATTAATATCAAAAGAAAAAAAGGAACATAATGAAATTTCACATTCCTTTAAATCTAATTAAGAGTAATCAATGTATAAGTATGTCCAAAAGCTTTAGAATTGAAATGAAACACGTAACCGCTGAATATTAGAAAAAAAAACACCATGATCTCAATGGCGTAATGAGATCCATTGATGCATTTTGAAAACAATTATCATGATTATATGACACTGAAGATTAAAAGTTGTAGAGTGTGTTTTAATCAATTTACGATTTAAATATTTTCCAGAAAAGGGCATTGAAAATGTACTTTTTCAACATGAACAAATTAAAAAAACTAATTTTATTGAAATGAGGATTCTTTCTTGATTGCATAAATATATACTTCTTATATTTAAATGACTACAATTGTTAACTGATATAAGAAGTTTTAAATTATTGAATAATTACAGATGATTCTTGTAGATTTATCAAGAAATTATAGTCCTTATTTGAATACCTTTTATATATTTATATAAAGATTTCATATTTTGTTTTTTTTCTTTAAAAAAGATCTTGTTATAAATACTTATTAATTAATTATTTTTCTTTCAGGCATAATTTACAGAATCACTTTATGTAATGTAGATCAAAAGTAATAGGCAATGAATAAATCTCTCATTTGTACATATCAAACATCTAATATATACATTTGTGTATTCAATTATGGGGTCAAATATTTGTGTATTGAGATATGCAATGAAGGGTCTGTATAATAATGTAAGACTGAGGTTGATTAGCAATGTGGTCAATATGATTGGCATTTAAGGAGGTGGGGCATTGTAATTAAGGCTCCACCTTGTCTCTGATTGTTTGATGACCATGACAGTTGTCAATCATACTGTCATTGTATCACTACTCTCTCTGTGTGTGACACCTAATCAAAAAGACAAAAATAGCCTGCACACATTAACACACCTTAAAAGACATACATACTTGAATGAACTGCTCCAAAAATATACCCCAATTTTTCACAGTTTATATGTGCATATGTACACAGACATGAGAATTATAGGGAACTATATTTCAGTGCATGTGTATACATTTTGTAGATTAAGTAACTAATCTGTGCTACTTGTTGTTAGGGAGGACAGTACCTTAGGAAAGATTTAGAACAATTACCAATCTTTCCAAAAAACCACACTTAGAGAATAATGGGTTGCTGAAATATAAAGAATATTGAATAATGGGCAACAATATACAGAATAGAGAAAAATGGGCAAAAAATATAAAGAAAAGAGATAAATGACATAGAAAATTAAAAAACACAGAAATAAAGGACTCCCCATCCAGTCCCTCATTTAAAACCCTCAGCTTTTTTCCAAACATGGCTGTCAATGCTTTTATTCATTATAAAAAAGAAGATGTGGTATGATGGCAAATAAGACAACTCTTCACAAGAGACCAAATAACACAGAAATTAACAACTATAGGTCACCGTATGGCCTTCAACAATGAGCAAAGCCCATACCCATTGTTCTTTTTTCTTTGGTTATAAAAAATGTGAATCATAAATTTTTATTTATCTTTTTTAATCAATAATTAGAAGAGTAAGCAGTTCTGCTCCACATGTTGCACCTGTCATGTCACCCAATGCATGTACAAATCTGGAGATAAAAAAATTGTCAAGTGAAGTCTTGCTATGAACCATCTTGAAATTAATTGAAAAATACTGATATGAATTATCATTGATATATTTTAACATGTTGTATTTTTCCAGGTTATATTTGGAGACAAAACACAGTTGACAGATGCTGTCTACTTCATTAGTAAAGGAAAATGTGACATGATAAAGAAAGTATCACTGCTCAGAACTCAGTCCCCTTATCTGCGACCGTCCCTGTTTTTGTCTGATAACAAGAAAGATCACTCTGAATTTCTCAACAAGCCATACGGAAAGCACACAAGAATATGTAGAACAGAAAACCACATGTTGACAGTCATGTCTCTCTATCCTGGTGACTATTTTGGTGTTGGTATGTGAATCTATTACTATTGGTACATAAAACAATAGTTACTTTATGGTAGATACATAGTCATATGACTCATGTCTCTATATCTTGATGACGGATGACTATTTTGGTGTTTGGTATGTGAATTTATTACGATTGGTACAAAAAAATAAAAGTTACTTTATGGTATATACACATTCCTGTCTCTCTATCCTAGTGACTATTTTGGTGTTGGTATGTGAATTTATTCATATTGGTACATAATATAATAGTGAGTTTATAGTTTATACAGACATTCCTGTCTCTCTATCCTAGTGACTATTTTGGTGTTGATATGTGAATTTATTACTATAAGGAAATAAAATAAAAGTTACTTTATAGTAGATACAAACAGTCATGTCTCTACATTCTGGTGAGAGGCCTCGGTGGCCAAGTGGTCTAAGTAGTTACTACTGTAATCACTAACCAGTCAACACTGAGGTTGTGAGTTCAAACCCCGCTCGTGCGGGTGCACTCAACTCCAATCTTAATTGACTAGGATTGTCAGTTTTCCTATTGAAGGTCGTGGTTTTCTCCGGGCACTCCAGCTTCCTCCACCAATAAAAACTTGCCGCCACGAAATAGCCCAAAAGCAGTGCTTAAAAGTGGCGTTAAAACACCAAGAATCAACATTCTGGTGACTATTTTGGTGTTGGTATGTGAATTTATTACTATTAGTACATAATATAATAGTGAAGTTATAGTATATACAGACATTCATATATGAATTTATTACTATTAGTACATAAAATAAAAGTTACTTTATAGTCGATACTAACATTCAGATGCTTATCTAATTTCTCTACCTGCAGGTGAAAATCTTCAGGATACTTTTATCATAACAAATGGTAAAGTAGAATGCCTGTTGATCAACTCAGCATTCTTTGCAATAAATCTGATGATGGATCGATTGGATGAGATGAAGGATAAGAATGAGGAAAAGATACCCTCAAACCAAAATCTGTATTTGAAGTTTGAAGCAAACAGGAAGTGGACAGAATATAAGAAAAGTCTTGTTGAAAATGTAGTCAGCCGAAAACGAATTCCAAATGTTACTACTAAAGAGGATATTCCAAAAGTTTTATCAATGGCACCTAACATTCCAGACGACTTGTTGTGGAAAGACAAACCGGCTTAGGTTCCAAAAGTTACAAGTCAAGATCATTCAAATGTTTAAGCAATAGGGCCTTCCATTCTGAAGACTTGTTTGGGAGAGAAAAGAATGTCTCAATGCATAAATGATTTATTCATAAATTAATAAAACAGAAGCACTATGAAGAATTTGTTATTTTTCTGTAGGATTATATATTAAGGGAGCTACCATTTGATTTTTATTGGGGGCTAGGATGAAAAATTTTGTCCTGCATTTTTTTTTAGTTGTAATCTCTGTCCTGCCTTTTTATTTTTCACTGTATTCGGTCCTGCCTTTTTTTTTTTTAAAGTTTATCCTGACTTTTTTTTACCTAAATTGTCATCCTGACTTTTTTTTTTGCAAGTGTCTCATCCTGGCTTTTTTTTTTTACTCAAAACTCCTGTCCTGCCTATTTATTTCAAATTTCATCCTAGCCCCCCATAAAAATCAAATTGTAGTTCCATAAATCACTGAAAAAAGTAATTTTCCTGAGGGGTTTATTTTCGCTAATTTCCCTATTAAAATAAAATTGCATAATTTCCCCTCATGTAAATTTGTCCTTTAGAGGAGATCAGTATCATAGATCAGATTAATGCAAAATTAAATCTCGAAGACAGGTTTGGTCCTAGAAATTGAAAAATTTAAACACACTGAACAGCTTTACAGTAAGGCAATGAGGAGTTATTGCTGAAATATGTTTCAGTAAAAGAGAGGAACTTATTTCTTTTGCTGCATACAAATTTAAAGATATCATTGATAAGCACTCATCAGAGAATATTTGCGCAAAAAGGTAGGGAAATAAGATGTTGGTACTGGACTACAGGTATATGGGTTTTGCTCATTGTTGAAGGCTGTACGATGACCTATAGTTGTTAACTTCTACGTCATTTAGTCTAGTGGAGAGTTGGCTCATTGGCATTTATACCACATCCTCATATTTTTATATATTCACTGATAGAATTATAAACAGCTATATCATTGAAGATTTCAATTCTGAATGCAGAAATTAAATGAAGTAGTTGCAGTATGAAATGCAGGTCACAGTGACTCAATTGTTATAATTTATTTTGTATTGAATATGGAAAAACCAATATTGAAAATATCATTTATAAATCATAATGCGAATCAGCCTCTTAGCAAAACAAACCATCAGTCATTCAAGCTGCATGTATGAAATATAGGTTAAGGTGACTCAAATGCTTCTGATCAGTGTTGCACTTGGAAGGAGGATTACAGAATAGAAATATAATATTGAGATTTAGTGTCCTGGCCTTGTGGTCATAATAATTTGGAGTACAATTATCATTATTCATATTATTAAAAGAGAGGCAAAAGATACCAAAGGGACATTCAAACTCATAAGTCGAAAAAACAAACTGACAATGCCATGGCTATAAAAGAAAAATGACCAACAGACAAACAACAGTACACAAAACACAACATAGAAAACTAAAGACTGAGCAAAATGAACCCCACCAAAAACTTGGGGTGATCTCAGGTGCTCGGAAGGTTAAGCAGATCCTGCTCCACATGTTGGTAAAAATACCGTACATCCATAAGTTCATCCAACAATACATCTTTATTTTTTAAGCATTTTATTGTTTAAACAGATCATAACGCAAGAACAATTCTCCTTTTTCTCTGGTCTTTAATATAGTTCTCCATTTTTTCATATCCTGTTTCTGGAGGGGGATAGTAATGCTTGGGTGGTTTTCCCTCTCGTAATCGTAGGAAGTAATGAACATAACGATATCGAACTCTAGATCCTCGACCTCGACCCATGATACGAAAGCCTTTCACTATAGCTGATTGTTTCACAAAAGAATCCTCTGAAAAAAAGTTTGAAAAAGAATTAATTATTTACTAGAAATTTTCAGGATTCATGATTTCAATTTTTTTGCAATATTTTGACAACAATTTTGTAGTTAATATTCTTAAATCATAAATTTTCAACATACATGTATCAATTCATACTGGAAATGGTAAGCTTAGCGACGATTTTTTTAGGCAACAGTGACCCAATTATTATCAATATTACTGAACTGTTCAAGGAACAACTCTATATCAAACATCACATATTTATCATTCCTAATTTATCAGCCCAAAAGCAAAACAATAAAAAAACCCCAAAAAACAAGAATGTGTCCATAGTACACGGATGCCCTACTCACACTATCATTTTCTATGTTCAGTGGACCGTGAAATTGGGGTCAAAACTCTAATTTGGCATTAAAATTAGAAAGACCATATCATAGGGAACATGTGCACTAAGTTTCAAGTTGATTGGACTTCAACTTCATCAAAAACTACCTTGACCAAAAACTTTAACCTGAAACGGGACAGACAGACGAATGAACAAATGGACAAACAAACGAACGAACGGACGAGCAGACACAAAAACATTGTGCCCATAAATGGGGCATAAAAATCTGTCAACCAATTGAAAAATAAAGGTCATGTTGACTTTTTAAGTGAAAATGTACGAGCTAAATATATGCAGCATATTTTAACCTATTAAGGGGAAGATTCCATCTTTTGTACGTTTTCAACCCCATAAATCATCACTAAATGAACTGTGGTCAAATTCATAAAAATTTCAAATCACATTACCAAATGGCTGTATTTTATTTCTGTGTTCACATTGAAATTCTGCAAGGAGCTGTCAGACATGATGCTTTTTATGAACTTCATCTGTCACTCAGCAGGGTTCTCACTTAGGATTTTTGAAAGCAAGTCCAGGGACTCGTAATTTTTGGCCATGGCAAGTCCAACAGTAAGAAGAAGATATTTTATTGCAATATAATTTATTATTTTAGTCTCAATGACCTATTAGAGCAATGAAATGACATTAAATTCAGATTACTTTTAAACTTTGCTATTAAATGATGACATGGATGATATGTGTATTCAGTTTATACAAAATATTTCAATCTTGATGCATCTTTGGACTCACCAGTTTTGAAAAATCGTGAGTCCAGACAGATTTTCATGAGTCCATGACTCATGGACTCGCCTTAGTGAGAACCCTGAGCCTGTATATCAAAGTTGTGTTACTGATTTCAGATAACTTTGCATGATGTTCTATAACCAAAGCTCCTATATATTATGACAAATAGAAATATTTAAAGTTTTCAGGATAAAATCAAACGCAGGATATCTACCATCGATTTATTTCAGTTTGGACACTTAAAAATACTTGGTTTAAAAGTATTAAAGTTTTCAGGATAAAATTAAGCCCAGGATATCTACCATCGATTTATTTCAGTTTGGACCCTTGAAAGTATTGAAGTTTTCAGGATAAAATTAAACCCAGGATACCTACCATCTATTTCTTTCAGTTTGGACCATTAAAAATACTTGGTTAACTTAAATATTTTATACTTACCAACCCACATATTTGATTTAAACTCTACATTATGATCCTTGACAGCAATTTCCTGGCATTCCTCTATTGTCTAATAAAAAGTAAAATACTCAATTGAACTAAATGATGATTAATTTTGCTTAAATTATTTTAGGTCCATTCCAACATACTTTCTTTCTTTTGGGTATTTTAATATACCACTTTGCTTCTTAGTGCGTGTTTTTGCTTCACTTGAGAGTCTGGATGGATTTCTTTATTCATTTTTAGGCAAATTTTCTCTATTCTTTACATGTAAACACCCCATTATTCTTTACCGCCGTCACGTTGTGACCCCTATGGATCCGTAGGGGATTAGTAAATTTCATAGGGGGTTCATGACGTCACGTCTACTGTTAATGGTGACGTCATCGATTAATGTTGTTGTGTTTCATTGTTTATTTTTCTACAAAACGCAGCAGAAAAAGTCCTGCATGCGATAAATTCGTTATACGTTCACTACTGACCCCCTACGGACCATAGAGGGTGAATAAAATTCATAGGAGATTCGGCCTTCGGCCTTACCCTCTATGGATCCATAGGGGGTCAGTAGCCATCATATAACTTAAAGTATTCTTCATTTTTGGCTATTCTTTCTATTTTTTGCCCATTATTCCGCACTTTTTGCCCATTTTTCTCCATTCTTTTAATTTTTCCATGGACATTAATGAGCTGCATCCATACATTTATCTATTTATTTTAAAAGGATATAACAAATATGCAAAAACTTACGACATTAAAATTTTACCCAGCAATTCCATAATCTAATTATCAAATTATTAATTTCAAATTCTTGTTCACTACATTTGTCATACAGATTAACTATCATTTTATATAGTATAAAAGAAGAATGTGTTTGAGGACAACAATTCCCTAATTTTCCAAGTTAAAAGGGCATAACTCTAGAATGATAAATAATTCACTGCCCAAATTTAAACTCTGTGTGCTATGGTTCTTAGCATTGTGTACGAGTTTCATTAAATAAGTTAAAAGGGCATAACTCTAGAATGATAAATAATTCACTGCCCAAATTTAAACTCTGTGTGCTATGGTTCTTAGCATTGTGTATGAGTTTCATTAAATTTGAATGAGGCTAACTTCAGTTTTAGTGCAGAATCGAAAATTGGACTGACAGAAAGACGGAAGTACGAAAAGACAGACTGTAAAAGTGAAAAGTGTAACACTTAATGGCCCCATAGCCTATGGTGGGAACATAAAAATCCAGAGACATTGAGCCTGCCCAATAATTTTCTGGTAATACAGGCTGGTAGAGTAATCAGGATGGATATTAAGTATGTCACAGTTGACTTAAAACATCCAACTATAATAACTAAATATTCTAATTGATCAACTATAAAAAAAAGAAAATGTGGTTTGATTGCCAATGAGTAAACTATTTACCAGAGACCAAATGAAGTGGACATCAGCGACTATAGGTCACCATATGGCCTTCAACAATGAGCAAAAGCCTCCAAAATTTTTAGTCAACTGAGTTCAAAACATCAAGAGTTAACTGTTTAAAACAAAATACACTGCATACCTCTTTAATGATATGTGCCCCTTTGTGCTTTTGAAATGATAACTGTTTGATAGCCTCATCAACTGACATTCCACGAATCTGGAAAAAAATATTTATTATAATATTAGAAAAATATAAACAGAATATCATATGATTTTGAGATATAAATAAAAATATGATATTTTAGTTATAAATTATAGAATATGACAGTTTAGATTTAAATTATAGAATATGTCATAATGATATTTGAGATATAAATCAAATGTATGCATTTTGAATTTGGTTAAACATATTTTAAACCTTCTTTTAAAGTCAATTTATAAGAATATTGTTACAGAACACAACACAATTAAAACAAACACCACAAAATACAGCTTTATAATACACATGTGCTTTTTCAGGTAACTGTAAAAGAGTTAATTATTTACAGGCAACTCATGGACTGACACTTATTTCTGTACATGTGACAGTTCAATCAAGCATTGTGTCAATAGCCTACATTAAAGTAACATCAATTTCTTTCTAAAAATTAAAGTGTAAAGCAATCACCAATCAATCAATGAATTCTAAAAATTAGCTTAGAATTAGAATGACAAAAGTGCATCTGTATTAAGGTAGATTCATGGTATACCCCCATCTTGGATTGTACAATCCCAGTACAAAATCGGTCTAGTTATTTGCCCAAATCTGCAAATTTGGAGACAGATTTGCAATTTATTGGTTAGACTGTTTATTTATATAAAGAAAACTTGGTGATTGTATAAGTCAAAATATTTAAACAAATATCAAATTTTGTGTTTTAAGAATCCATTTTTTCAAATAAGTCATTTAAGGGGAGATTTTTTATTTTTACTTGTGGTAAGAAAACAAGTTCGGTGACACCATTTTTTCTTTTTATTTTCTTAAAACATATTATAAAACCTATCTTTTCACCATTTATTTCAAAATTCTATCTCATAGATTTTTTTTTATGCACACAAATGTGTTTTTTCATGAACAATCTAACCAAATTCAGGCATTTTTCAACGACTCATAGCTTGGAAAAT